GATTACATTGAATAAGAAATACATGTGTTTAATAATGAATAAATTAATCACTTTCAAATCGCAGTTCAATTATTAATTAAAAGGTACATATCTCGTGCGCATGTACATTTTTATATATTATTTAATTCTACTACAATGAACAAACATAATAAACCGCACCAAAAATCATGCATGCAATAGATATAATGCATTTCTCGAACAAGTATAAATACATAAATCCTCGAAGCATTAAACCATCAGTTACTCCGCTCTCAGCTTTCGTGCTTTGAACGTGGTTCTCCAGTGAAATACAAACACATCACTTCACCATTTTCTTGATTAACTTTTTGAAAACGGTCTAAGTTTTATTGCAAAAATGGAGGTCGACAAATGCGATAATGGAAATACTGAGGTGGAGAGTTGCTATAATGAAGATATAGATGAGGATAATAGCGATACTGAAAATACCGAGGTGGATAAATGTTGTGGTATGTTTATTTTTTTGTTATAAATTACAAATTTTGGAATTTGTCATTGTTCTAAAAACGCAATTTCAGGACCCGGTTATGCAACTCCCATGGACGCTTTTCTCCACGGCAAAAGGGAAAAACTGCTGTACGTGATTTGCGTTCAACCGAATCCGGAAGGTTATAAATCCGATATCTTGTCCACCGTTGATGTCAACCCAAAGTCAAAGACTTACCAACAGGTATAAAACTATAATTGTAAATTTGTAGAAACTTGTTAAATAATTTCAATTTGTTTAGATCATCCACACGTTGCCAACTGGCAAAATCAACGATGAGATCCATCACTCAGGATGGAACACCTGTTCCAGTTGCCATGGTAAGAAAGCGCACGTCCGCGACAAGTTGATCTTGCCGTGCTTGGGATCCGACAGGGTTATTATCGTGGAAACAGGAAAGAAGCCGCGTTCTCCCAGCATCCACAAGATCATCGACTCCAGTGACATGCATAAATACAACTGCGCGAGTCCACACACCAGCCACTGCTTGGCTAACGGTGACGTCATGATCAGCACTTTGGGAGTTAACCCTTTCAAGTCTGATTTTTTTTAAATAATAAACTATTTTTAATTTTAGAAAGTAATCAAATTAAAGAATTATTTTGTATCGGTGTATTATGTCTTAACATATTGTGATTTATTGTACCAACAGACATTTTAATTGGTACATATTGTCCCAGTGTAGAGTTACTTATTTTTTGATAAAATTTAGTAAATTTGCTTATTTTTTCAGATTTTGATATAATAAATATTTAGTATAGATTTTTCTACTTATTTGGTACTAAAGTTCAATATTTTGTATTAACTTCATTTAGTATTGTTTTCCATAAAATTGAACATGTTTTTTTAATTTTATGTTTCGAACTTTCGTTGTTACTTATATTATGTATAGAAATATATATTTTTCTCATTTTATAATATAAAATTTGTCTAAAATATATAGGAAATACAATATTTCTACAGTGATTTTTTTAAGACTAATAATTACATATTTGTATACTCTCAAACAAAGAGGATGAAAGGAAAAACATGGAAGTGATAAAGTGGATTTTATTTTTCTAGGACGGAAAGACTTAGGTCGATAGCCCTTTGGTAACAATTGTGACTAATAATAATAATTATTATTTTTCTATTTTTTCTCAGAATTTGAATCTTTGTAATTCATTCACTTTATGAACTAATATTATTAAGAAAATAAAAGAACAGATAGAAATTAATTACATTTTTTTTAATTTTATTTTTATTAATAGACAAAAAAAATAAGTCATGGTTGGCGTGTTAAACAACTGGTGTCTCACAGAAGCTGCGCGAGTATCGGTGGGTTAAAACCTTGCATAGATATTCGATTACTAAACAATAAAAAAAATGCTAAACAATATATTTGGTGATAATATTATCTTTTTTAGAAATAAATGCGGCAATGACTAAATTGGCAATGAACTTGAAACATCATTTAAAGTGTCGAATAGATAATAGATTAGTAAACAATTATAAAAAATTGACAATACACAATTTTGTGTGAATCAAAAATGTTTCATTGCCAAGCCGTATTTAATAAAAAATATTATCAATATCAAATCATAAGTTTTTTGCATTGTTAATATATTGGGTTGACAAGAAAGTACGTTCGGTAATCTGATGGTACATGGTCATCGATATGACATCACTTTCCAATAATTTTCCATGAGTTACTAAGGATTTACATTTTTTTGGTGGAACACGATTCGTCAATTCTGCACATTTCTTTGATTGCTTCCTCCAATTTCATTAATTGTTGACAGTAAACAACTGAATTGATCGTTTGGTCTCTTGGATTTAGCTCAAAATACACAACACCAAATTGATAGTATGATAGCTTTTTGATATAATTCAGCGTTTTGATGTGGTTTGTGCTGGTGTTTAATTCAAACATGGGTATTTTGCAGGAATTCAATTAAACATAGATGTTTATTATTGCAAATGTTCACGCAGGTGTTCAATAAAATATATTTTAAAAATGATAATTGAAAATCAGTTTTTATAGTTTTAGGTAACATTTTTTTATGGTTGCAAATTAAACAATTATTCAAAGAATTTGTTTAAGATCAAAATTATTATTTTTATTTAATTTACTGAAATATATAAGACCTGCAACAAAAATAATTACATAATTATTCTTATGAAAAGTGGCGCATTTTTCTTAACAGCCCAACTATCTTAGGCCGGTCCTGATTATGATATTAATTTATAAATATGCATAATTTATCAAACACAAAGGTAAATGAATAATTGTTTATTTCATGAAAATATAATATTTATTTTATCATTTTTAAGTGTACATGAAAATAATAATATAATAATTTGATTAAATATAGAGTGAAACCTAGAGAATATCCTTTGCGATTGGTTTGGTAACTTGTAAATCCAATAGAAACAAGATGTGATGTGAGCACATACAATTTGTTTC